GTGTCCTTCCCCACATGCAAAATGGGTCACAAAAGCCCAAGCAGAACCAGAATGAACTGAGCAACGTAGTGGGTGCGAGATGTGCATCCCCTCTGCTCTTCGGTGGAATCCATAAGGAAGCAAAAAGGAATGAGCATAGGAACAAGCAGTATGGATCCAGATGGACTTACTAGCTCTGGCTCAGTGTTAGTCCCTCTGGAGCCACAATCCATATTCAGGCACCTGAGCTGGTTCTGCTCATGGAGAGTCCACGGGCGTGCGAGCAGGAAAGCAGCAAGACAGCTTCTAAACCAGACCAGGAACTGTGCAACAGTGTTTGCCCAGAGCCTTAACGAAAAGCCCAAGCCAGCTCTACCCTTGCAAACTGCTAATCAGCAATCCAGATAATCATGAGTCGGCTCCTGACATTAAGGAGGTGCTGGTCAAGGGGGAGCAGGAGCAGAAGCCTGGAGCCAGTGAGATGATATGGGGGAGGATGGAGTTGCGGTGTCAGGAGGCCGGTGATCTGAGGGCAAAGGAGGGAGGCAGTGAAGAGGAAGACAAGTGAGTAATGCAAGCGAGAAGGGCAGTGTGAGGGATGGGAACATGAGTTATGGGAAGAAAGGGGCTGAGGCTGAAACAAGCTGGAGAGGAGACAAAGAAAAGCAAATGCAAAATCTCCCTGAGAAGATAAGGCAGCCCAGAGCTTATCTGTTGCTACGCAGAGGCCTGAACCAGCACCTCACCCTTATTTAGAGCAATCCACACTTTCAGACCCTTTCTGTGCGACCCACAGACAAGAAAACATACTACAAACCCATCGTTTGTACTGAGCTCTTGCATTATTGTTGTACATAAGCTGTTGCATTATTTCTGCTTTGTGAAGGACATAGCTCCACAAACCCTCAATCATGTGAGTCAGAGCAAGCAGCACCTCATGGGACCAGGACCTACAAGCAGTCCAGAGCTTATTCCAGAAAGATGTAACAAATTCCAGGAGCGACACGTTTCTCTTGAAAGTAGTGGCTCTGTGAACCACAAGAATACGGCATGATACAACATGTGTCCTAAGAAACAAGCAAGCCTTGCAAAAAGTTTCCAAACTCTCCTTTGCATCCACAGAAATACGCTGCAGGTGCCAGTTTCAGTACACACACCCACCATGATGGAGCCTGTAGGTACAATTTGATTTCAGATGACAATTTCCACCTGCAAATATAGGTACCACAAATTTTGGGACCTTTGCCTTAAAACTCTAATCATCCATTTTATCAGCAGACTGCAGAGATCCAACCGCACTTGTCCCAGACGAGCTCTAACAGCTTCAATCAGCACGAAAAAAGAGTTTTAAAATAAGGGTATACAGGCAACTTGATCATCAAATGAAAAAAATAGAAAATCATGCTGACAAATAACTCTCTTATAATTCAGGCACATACCAGCAAAGAAGATACTGGAGGGAAAAAGATATATGAGCAAAAAGATATTGGAGGATAAAGTAATTAACATGAGCTGACCACACTCATAATTAATATTGTATTCAGGAAAAACAAGGTGTTAGCTGATTGCTGGGAGTGCTAGTGGATGAGCAAATTTCAGCAAAACAAGCACCTCATGGAAGGGTTATTTTACCTGTTGATGGGGAAAAAACAAGGGTGCGGCATTCCCATTGCTTTAGTGAAACAATCAATATATTGTCTAGAGAAATTACCCAAAGTGGGCTTTCCACCACAGCAACCGAATGCCATAAAACAACCCATTTGTAAAATACACAATTACTTAGCACTATGCAGAAGCATATAAAATGGCATGGAAATTGCTGCCAGCAAGCGCTGAGTGCCTGGGATAAGACATGCGCTCAGATACGAGGAGAGACACAGCTACCCACCTCCAAAATACCTTGAAAGCAGCAATGAAATGAACTCAGACACACTGAGCTGAACACAGTGACCTTGTCTGCAACAAGAGAAACTTCTAAGCAGCAATCTAGGAACACTTTGATCTTCTTGGCACACCTGAAAACACCTCCCAGTCACGGATAAAAAAAAGAAAAAACACCTCTGCAAACAGCACCCATGCACACCGAAACGCTAAACAGACTTGACTTCAGCAGGGTTAAATGCTATTTGATGTTAAATGCCATGTTGTTTCTGTCCCACCATGGACAAAGGTTGCCGATGTGAAAGTGGAAAGTTCAAATAGTTGTCCTCTCCCTGTCACCAGTGTACTCAAGGCTTTCCAAAAACTTCCCATCATCCATTTCCGCTGGGTATTGCACCAGAAGCAGGGGGTGAGGTTCCTAGAGAGCACAAGTGAGCAAACAACGTGGCTGTAAAACCACTGGGGATGAACTTAATTCTACCTGGGGAGTTCACTCAGGTGAGGTTCAATTCTCCTGAGCCTTCACACCTGGGGGCCAGAGATGCATGAGGGGTTGCAAAAGGAGATTAAAAAAACAAGCCCATCATCAGGAGACTTAAACTTACTACAAAGGGGTCAAAAGTTCCACTGAAAAACACTGGAGAGATCCATGTATCGAACAACATCACAATACAGGCACCTATTATACATGCAGCCTGGAAAACCAGCACAAGTGGGTCCTCTAAAGAAGGGCTAAATGTTGCCATGATTTACACCCATGCAATACTGTGTTGGACATTTCTAAGGGTCAGAGGCACCCTCTCGCACTGCAGAAGACCTCAGTCTCCTTCCCACCCCACCTTCCTGCCACAGTCCTTCTTTCCAGCCTTCCCACACTGAAGGATTTTCCTTCCAGCACCAGGTTTCTTTGCTAACCTGCAGATGACACAAGGCTGGAGCTCAAAGCAGTGCTGCTGGGGGAGTTTCCTGGCCCTTTCCAACATGGCTTGGGGATCCTAGTGAAGAGCTAGGTCCCCGGACGATCAAGATCTTTGGTGATTTGGAGCTAGAAGGCCACCTGGACTTCAGTGGGCAGCAGCAAATGGGAACAACGTGGCTCTCATTCCATTCTGGTGCACAGTGATTACTGGCAGTGGCTACAGCTCATACAGCCCTTAAAAGTTTGGGTTCTAGTAATACCAGAGACTTTCTCCAGGGCACCATGTCAAACATGAGATCTGGAGATATTCCTCCTCATTGCCAATCTGTATGGGTAGCCATGGAGCTCCAGGCAGGCACTTTTTGCTGTTTGCTGGGATTTAAAACCCCTTCCTGGGCAGCAAGGAACAGTGACCTATGGAGCTATTTAAGAAACATGTCCATAAAATAAAGGGAATGGATGCCAGAGGAAAGAAACTGCCTGGAACAGTCAAAAGCCCCCTTTCACCTTTCTTTTGCCAACCAAAAATTCCAGGTGAAGCTCCTGCTGCTCTCACCGATGTCCTGCCATTTTCCCACCATGACCGTGCTTTCCATGGGCCCATATTCACTCCATGTGCCTGCTGAGACCTTCTGCTCCTCGTGCCCACGGCGACACCCACAACGAAGTGTGTCAGTGCTCAGCAGGCATCGTGGGGGGCTGCCTGCCCTGGCACATGCAGACTTCTTCACTGACCCCCCAGACTGTTTCTGTAACCAAGCTGAGCTGATGGGAGATATGCCAGGCCACAGGAGGGGAGCTCCCTTTGGAGCGGGGAGGGTGCAAGACATTATGTCAGGCTGAAGTTTAAGGTAAAATCAGATGCATCAGCAACAGATGGCGTGTGCCATGAGTTGTGTCCAGCCTCAGCAGCAGCGCTCTGAAGGAACTGTGACAGGCATCTGGCCTCAGCAGCGGTGTTCGGGGGGAACCGTGACATGCCATGAGCTGCACCTGGCCTCAGCAGCGCTCTGAGGGAACCATGACACCCCGCGGGCTGTGTCGGGTGCTGCCCCGGAGCTCCTCTCAGGAGCTCCATTGTGTAGCAAGGGCCACAGGATCCCTGCGGGGAGCCCCGGCAACACTCAGAGCTCTCGGTCAAAACGCATCAAGGACCCCGACAAAAATAAATCCGCCCCCGGGGGAGGAGAAGGGGCTGCGGGTACGTGCAATTAGCTACGCCGGTCCTCAACGCCGAGCCCTGCCCAGGCGGGCCCACCGCCCCATGGGGAGCGAAAAAAGTCCCCAAGGAGAGAGGAACGAGGGCGGGAGAGAGCGAGAAAGAGCACAGCCAGCGCCAGCGCGCTATTGGCTGTCGTCGCCGTCCATCCCAGCTCCACGACCAATAGCAAACCAAGGCGCTACGGGTCTAACCGGGGGTGCGCTCGGCCCCGCCTGGGCCAATAGCACGGGAGAAGGTGGGCGGGGCCCCCACCGGCACCGCGAAGAGGGGGGGCCAAGATGGTGGCAAGGGGGGGGCCCGGCTGACACGGCGCTGCCCGTTCCCCCTCCCCAGGCGCTCTCCGCCGCCGCCCCCTCCTCGGCGAGGGGCCGCGGGCCGCTCCCGCTGCGCGGGGACCGAGCGGGGCGCGGGAGGGGCCCGCGGGCTGCGGCGCACCGGCCTTCCCCGGCTCCTTCCCGCCCGCCCGGTCACCTTCCCGCGACCCCGGCGCGGGGGTGTGTGAGGGAGGAGAGACCCCCTGAGGGAAGGGTGTCGCGGCCTCCCGCGCAGCGCTTTACCTGGCCGCCTTAGCGCGCCGCCGCTGCGGCGGTCTCCACCGTTGCTGCCGCCTCCTTTTTGGGGAGATTTTTTTTTTTGTTGTTTTCTTTTTCTTTTTTTTTTTTTCTTTTTTTTTTTTTTTTAAAAAAAAGCCTCTCCGCCTCCCCCTCCCCTCCCCCCTGGGGCGGACGGGCTCACCCAGCCGGCGGCGGGAGGGGAGGGCACAAGATGTCGGCTCCGTCCGCTCCGGCTACCGCCGCCTCCTCAGCGCCGCCTCCTCATGCCGCTGCCGCCGCTGCTCCCGCCGCTGCCGCTCCGGCCCCGGTGCCGCTTCGCCCCCCACCACCCTCACCTCCCCCCCGCCCCCCCCCCCCCCCCCCCCCCCCTCCCCGGGGCCCCGCTCGCTCCAGCGCCCCCGCCGCTCCCGGTGCTGTGTGGAGGCGAAAGGGGGGGGGGGGGGAGAAGCAGGGGACACACGCACAAGATGGAGGCGGCGGTGGCGGCGGCAGCGCAGCCCGGCCGAGCGGCGAGGGAAGGCGGCAGCCAGCGGGCAGGCGGGGGAGGGGGCTGCCGCGCTTCGCTCCCCCCCCGCGGGCAGGGACCGCCCGCCCCTCCCCGGTCCCTTCCCACCCCCGGGCCGCGCGGAACGGGAGGCCCCCGGGGGGCTGGGGGGGGGGTGGGGGGTGCCCCTCCGCGCTCGCCTCAGGGCTGAGGGGGGGACCGAAACCCCCCCACCTCAGTGCCCGGAGAGGAGGGGGGGTCCGCGGAGCTGCGGCCTCCCAGACCCCGCTTCGGGCGGCTGGGGGGGGGCGGCCGACGACACTGCCTTCCTCAGGGTTGGGGTTTGCTTGGGGTACGGCCCGCGGAGGGGGGACACACACACCCCCCCCCCCCTCCCTAGGTCGGTGGCCCCCAGGCCACTGGAAATGAGCAATTTGGGATTTTTGCCCCAGGTTCGCTGGGGTGCCTTGCGTCCGCACCCGCTTTTTTTTGCAGGAGGCAGAGCATCCCCCCAGAACGGATAGGTGGAGGAGCATCGGCCAGGCGCCAGATTCGGACCTGGCTGCACCCCCCCCGAGAGGCTGTAGCCCAAACAAGGAACATCAAACAAACAATGGGAATAATAAGAGCCTGTATTTATTTTCTAGTCTGATACTTCAGGTCCATATGGCCTCCTGACATGCAGAGGTGTGACGGGGTGGAAGGACAGCGAGAGAGGGACTGAGAGGAATGAGCAAGGAACAAGTTACATTTGCAACTGAGATAAGTGATGAGATAGAAACTGCAGAGGCTCCTACACTTATTTTTTATAGAGCATACCACATACTTGGGCATATGTATGCTCTACCTCCCACTCAGATCGTGCAGAGTATTGCATAATACTACCATCTGAATTTATAGAATTAACGGAATTGTTTTCAAATGAAAAAATGAATGCTATTTTCCCTCATTTACAGTCCAACTATAGATCTTTTGTCTCTCAACATATGTTAAAGATCTTTTGTCTCTCAACATATGTTAACCATGGAATCTGAGAGTCTATAAGTCTGTTTGGCAAAGTACTCCGGTTGGACCAGAGCTTGTTGAAGCCTTAAGAGCATGGGAAAACATGTCACTTAATGCTGAACAGTCTTGTATGTCAACCTCTTAAGTACTTTCTGTATATACTTTTTAAAGGATCTACTGCTAACATATCAGAACACAAATAATAATGTATTCTGTTCTTGTCTTGCATGAAAAATAACCTATCAAAGACTTAGAAGTAAAGTCACAATGCTGTCGCCGATTTACATAGGAACTCTCCTAACTTCGGAAGAACAGCTATGCAACAGCATGGTCCTAGCTGTGAAGGATTAAAAATTAGGTGTTTCTGCTTCCAAGTTGAGTGTTGAGAAGGCACTGAAACAGTGAATAAAACTATTTCAAAAACTTATGAGCAACTTCACTATCTCATTTTCCTTTTTTATGTGAGAAAAACCCACTGTTAAAATTCACTTGCATTTTTTTTCTAGCACTTTTGGTTTTGTTTTGTTTTTTTTTTTTAAATACAACAAATTTTTGCGAACTCTCATTTTAAGCTCAGTTTTGAAACTTCATACTCTTAGATTTGCACTGGAATTGGTTTATTATAATCACATTATGTTCCAGTCTTGCAAAGATTTGCATACATGCTTAATGTCAAGCGTGTGAATAGCCTTATTAAGTTCGGTGGGATGACTTGTGCACAAAGCAATGTACAGACATCTCTGAAGATTGCGGGCCATGTGTCACAACATGAAAACAAGTTATCCATCATTTAGTTTTATAATAGAGCTGTGGAACTAGTATGTTATTTGAAAAAACATTCTGAACTTATCTCAAACCCCAGAGGCACAACTTAATTCAATTTCTTCGCTCTCCCAGTTTTTAAAGGGTGCAGGTTCAAAACCAGCAATGTTGCTTCAAATGAAAGGAGCGGCTAAGACAGCTCAAACAGAGCTTCAATAGTATTATAATTCTCTTGGTCTTTATTCAAGTATATAAAACACTCAAAAAGGGGAGAAAACTATCATGTGGAATTTAGAACTGACCTTTTTTGTTTGTTGATTCATTCAGCCTCAAAAATGAGTTATGCTTGTATCTCTGCTTCAGCTGTTTGTGCTGTGGCCATTTTCTTCAGAATTACAAAATTAATGCAATCGCTAAACAGGACCAGTGCACATTAAAGGTTAAAAGCCTGGGATCTCAAAGCAATTAGCCTCAGCCACCGTTTGTTTCATCTGGACTTTGAAGTGCTCAGCTGCACTTTCTGAGACCCTAGTTTTGTGTGGAGTATAAATAACCCTGTTCAGTCTCACTAACTGCAGAGAGGTGACACCAGCACCCAGCACTATCTCCTCAGTGATGTTCTTTTTTTAATCTTAACATGCAAATCATAGTTTCAAAACCTTTATTCAGGTGAAGTGTTCTGAAGACAGATCTGAAATGATGGTGGAAAAATTTTTATTTTTCCAACCAAACTTGGCTAAAAGGAGTTAACTCACTCTCATTTAACAGAAAATCAATGAGGGTTGAAGATATATACTAACCTTTCAGTATTATTTAATAGAGCACAGTCCAACAGAAAAGGAGTTATCAATCAGCCAAAGTGCTGACTGAGTAAGTTGTGAAGCAGCACCAGCTGAACATTGCATTAAAAGCTGTATAAACCCATGTGCTCAGAAAATGGCCTTGTAGAGAGAAATTGGGCAAAACATCCCATAAACCACATTCACCTGGAAACTGTGACATTTTCACAGTGTAGTAATGCTGACAGCCTTGAACATAACTGCAATTAGCGCAGGAAGTGTTCATCCATTTGGGGGAAAAATGAATTAGTACTGGCTATTTTGGTCTTCATTCAATCTTTCTCTTTCATGTCTTGTTTCTCTTAGTTGGGAAAAGAAAAAGAGCCATAATCACGTCACCAGCCAACACTCTGCTGACCCATGATACGGGAAACTGCAGAGGATTGGGAAAGCTTTCCCTGATTGCTCAGGCAAGAGAAAGACATGGAAATACAAAAAGGTATTACCATCCTTTGTACAGTATCTCACTGGAGTTCTCAGATGCATTTATAATTGTCTATGTTTTTCTTCTCTTCTGTTATCACATACTTAAAACCTGAAATTTATTTCTCTAGTCTGCTACCTAGAATGTGAAAAGGTTAAATATGAAAACAGATTCTCTTTTTCCTATAGGATAAAATAAGCGTATGGTTTTGTAACAGGCTGTAGATACTTTCAAAGCTCTGCCCTGAACGGTTCCTGGGTGGTGTCCAAAACATGGCAAGTGTTAGGCCTCTTAAAAAAATCTTGATAATTTTGTTGTGTCTCTTAAGAAAAAAAAAAACAAAACCCAAAACAAAACATTGCTTCATATGCTTTTTCTTTCCCACTACATCTGGAAGTACCTAATAAATACATCCCATAAAGTTGCAACTCCACAGACCTAACTAGCTGTCAAGAAACTTACGCAGAAAGATTGTTTACGATGAAGGCTTCACTTTCCAAATAAAAAAAAATGCTTTGATAATAAACTCAGAAGTAAATGTAGGAATAACAAGTAAACAGTATTTCAAAATAAACATCTGTATGTTATGTGAGACAGGCACAACAATTCTATCCACATACATTTTTATCATACAGCCTTAATATAAACAGCAAACATATTTCTGGCTGGCCTAATTTATGGAATTTTGGATGTTCACTTAATGGCCAAGTGATTTTTATCACTCAGTGTTGTATTTTTAAGTATGTAAACTATGCAAAGGGAAAAAACGTGATGAAAGGAATGTACATCAATTATGTGTCACTGTGGCTCATCTAACAGGCACACCTGTGCCTCGGCGTAAGATAATTTCTTCTTTGACTAACAGTGTCTGTCAGGGTCACACACACCCTGTTTCTTGTGCTGATTTTGAAGTACTTTAAACCTTGGCCTGAGTCACTGTTTCTGTTGAGCAGGTATTTTTCAAACTCCTCTCATGAAATGTGAATATGACCTTTTTTTTTTTTTCTTTCAAGTAGCTCATTCCTCTTCACTGAAACGTGTCCTCAGATGCCATATAAGCACTGGGGCGGTTGGTCTTTACAAACAGACACTGTCTTTCCACTACAACCTGCTACAGTTCCTGCTATCTATTTTGAGTTGCTGGCTGGTACATGCCACAAAAAACAAATACACGCACACCTCCCAGATTCCTGGGCGTGCAGAGCACCAGCTCTCCACATCTGTCAGGATATTGGGAATTGCAGAAGGAACACCGTTTGGCTCTGGGACAGTGTGCTGTCACTGTACGGGGCTGGTGGGTGAGTGAAGGAAACCAGCGCAAGGAGCCCACACACCAGCTGTTGGAATTGCTCTTGTAATTTCAGAGCATTCAGTGTAAGCTCTCAAAAGAGAAAACCAACTGAGAAACCCAGTCACTGAAACACAAAATATTTTCTGGGAGTATATTCAGCAGAAAGACCGGTACTGAAGAGACTTCACATGCCTGACAGAGGTGGGACTCATATTTTCTCTGCCTAACAGCAAAATCTACGTACCCCATTGGATTGTGCTCACACTTGTTCTTCTCACACACATTCATACAAGTCCTCAGTGCCTCTTCTGTGCTTGTCCTCTGGTCACACAGACAATTCTCAAAGGGCATCTCAGATTATTCTTTAAAACTATGGAGGCTCCTTTTCAACTACTCAGTATAATACTTTATCATGAAGATGTTTCTTCCTCAGCCATCATTACAGATAGCCAGCAAACTCCAATCCTCTTCAGGTATGCTTATCCCATTTTGAGGAGGGGCAAGATGATTATGAAATCACATCCTAAATTCCCATTTAAAGGGGTTTAGGAGTTCTGTCTGAAAGGGTTCTTCACCTTAACACATGACTTTCTGAAAGCAAGCTCTATACTCCAAAAGTCTCCATAGATTTACTCAATTTTTCTCTACAAGATTAAGCTTTTAAGACTACTGTGCCTCAATATGTCCATAGCTATGTGTAGTCAGGAGGCCAGCCTGCCTCACCCACAGTCCTGAGACATCTCCTTGTGTGTTTGCACACACTCACCTGGACGATGACACTCTGCTGCTGACCACCAAACCTCATTTTACCAGGGCACAGGCAGCTCTAAATATCTGCAGGTCTCCAAGATGTTTGTGGCACCTGCAGAGAGCTCCTCTCTGACCCATGTTAAAGACTATGCTGTGGATATGACAGCCAAGTCAGATGCCAGGTTCAAAAGGACAATATTTCAAGTGCTGTTTGACTGTTGCAGCTGGAACTTCTCCCTTCCACCGTTCAAGGGAAATGCAGGTTGTCTCACACTTAGGAAGAAGAAAGGGTGGTCCCTTGCTCTCCTCAAGATGGGATTCTTCGAGACAGAGTCAGCAGGACATCCCTGCATGTCTTCCAACCCAGCTCTTTGGGATGCTTCGTGACAAAAGCATTGAATTTCAAGGGACTTAAGGGAACATCACAATGGTTCTGTGCAAAGCAAGGCAAAGGGCTTGTAAGGGGCCTAGGGAGAGAAACTGCAGCTCATCAACGCGGAGCATCTGTGCAGCTACAGCAGGATAACATCAACACCGTGGTCTCAGAAAGCTAGCATTGCTGGAGGGTTATCCTGAGTACTACACAGCACGGACTGCAACAGTGACAGACAAGAAACATGACATCATCTTGTCCAGCTTCTAGTGGAGATGAGAGCTTAGAAAATTCTGGTAATGTTGCAGTTTTCCCTTATTTGAGGTCTGTACAGCAAAACTGGGTACCACTTAAGGCAAAGATGAAAATTAGAGAGTACTGAAAGTGTACGTCCTGGCTAGACCAAACCAAAATGACTCAGCAGCTGCAGAAGGGGTGGAGAGTTGAGAAATACTGCATGTATTACTGAGTTCATATACCTTCTCAATAAATATTTTTCTGTAGCCCTGGGGACCATGTGCTCTGAGCTCTCGCACAAAGACACTTGTCTCTTGGCACGTGTCCCTTGGGATGGACTTTGGAATGACCAGTTGAACCTGACCAAGTGTAATACGGCAGAAGATGCCAACTAAGAAGATATTTATGCTGCAGTGCAAAGGTGTTCTCACAACAGTCATACCTGCCTAGCATCGACCTATCTAGTGACTGCATCAATAGCTGTGGATCTGCAGATACACCAGATTCAGCACAGGCTGAAAAACTTTCTGAAGAGCCTGAGTCAATATTCAGACTAACTTATGCTGAGCTCCTCGCTAATTACAGACTGTGCTGTTAGTAGGAAGCTCAGTAGCTTAAAGGTAGCTCAGATACACTTGCAGGAGCCACAGTCACACCTCTGGACTGCAGGGTGGATCTGTGCATCGCCACCAATGTATAGGAAAGGATTTGAGATGTGATTGCAGTGATTCAGAGATAGATGTAGTTTTTGCTGTCAACTGCAGACAGAATACATTGGCAAGAGATTTTAGGAGCTGAAACAGCACCAGAGTCACTGTGTACAGCACTTCTGCAACCAAGCAGCTCTAGTGATAGCACCTGCAATCACCGGGGAAAACTGTATGTCCAAAACAGCTCTATATTCACGTACATACTTTTTATATCATTTTACATCTGACAAGCTTGTGTTACTGCTGGTGAGCCTTACACTTGAGAGCTTCCCAGAACACCTCTGCAAAAGGGACTGACTGCGTAAGTCTGAGCTCCTGGGCAGAGCGTGCCAGGCCCCAGAAGGGATTGAACCTGAGCAAACATAGCTCTGTTACTGTTCAGGCTTTTCTCTGCACTAACATTAATATACAGGGACATGTAACCTATCCAGAAGTTTATCAGAGTCCATTCAAGAAAACTAACACTTTCCATCCATCAGCAAAGCTGTGGGTAAAGTGTGATTTTTCTAATCAAGCATCTAGAGATGGCTGTGCACTTATATCCTGCACAGCAGGAAATTGTGTTTTGTTTTGTTTTGTTTTTTGTAACTACTTCTATAAATTTTGGGTTAGCAATTAGCAGTTCCAGGACTGCGATTATTAACCAAAGCAGTGTTTAAGGGAATATGTGACAGGTTGGGGGGCGTCCTAATACATATTTAAAGATTTCTTTGTGGGAGTGAAGCATACTCATTCATATTTCGAGGAATAAATAAAGGCCTGTCAGAGGAAAAGATCTATTGAGTAGCACTGCAGAGGGGGATAAATAGCCCCTAAAGACCCCCTTATACTTAGGAAACTTTGGCAATTAACTGTTCAGTATATGAACAATGAGATCTTCCAAGCACAGAGGAAGAAGGGAAAAATTCTCCAAGAAACACTGTCCAATCTCCTGGTCTCACAAGTGACAAAGAACTAGGACACCTCAGGTACCAGTGATCAAGACCTAGCAGTTGGGTTGCTTTAGAATAAGCCACACCAGCACACAGGGGCTGTATTTCTAAAGAACTGATGAGAGGTATTGTCTACAAGATCATGAGGATTTATTACAAAGAGGGCTGTTGCTGAGAGCCAGGGATTTACATAACAAAAGCATCAGATTTCAGAACTACCTTGGAGCCCCCTTACTCCCCAAAATCATCTCTTCCACATTTGCTATCCTGGCATAGCCCACCCTGGGGGTAAGTTACACTTTGTTTCTGAAGCATGAGCATTCAGATGCTCATGAGACCCAAACTCACCAAGACAGGAACCTGCAAACACAGTTGTAATACCACCACAGTCACTTTCAGATCCCATTTGCTTATTTTGTTCTTGAAATTACTTTTCATCTCTCCTCTGTTCTAATGGTAGTAACATTTGCAGCAAACACCTATGTACTGGAGCAGTGGCTTGGGACATACTGATGCATACACATCAAAAAGCACCAGGCTTTAGATGATATCAGTATACATCCAGTACATCAAATTACTTTAAAGATCAAAACATGCTGTTAAATGTGAATGACTTTTTACATACTGTAGAAGCAAAAGATGGAACAAACTTTCCCTGGAGGGAGCATCCAGATGACTGGCTGGTTGGTCTGTGTTCATAAAACCTCCCTCTGTTTATGTATCACACTCCTCTTATCTTGATGCTATCTGAACACCTTTCCACAGCGATTAAATCCAGGCAAATTGTCTGGATTTTCTCACATCATCCTACATAGTTCTTGTCCACATCTAGGTGCAAAAAAAAGAGATTCCTGTGGTGTTTTTCATCTCATATAAAACTTTATACCTACTAAAGAAATTGTATTAGAGCAGGGGTGGATGCAGCTGGCTGGGGCTGTGTGCTCTCCCCAGCCGAGTGCCAGCAGCACTGCAGTGTCCCCCTGGCACACACGGGGACTCGGAGCAGCTCCGAGAAGGCAATTTCTTGTAGCTATCAAGGATTGCTCACTAAATAGGTGAATGAATTAAAATTTGCATAGACAAATAAGAAATGCAAAACCTCAACAAAAGTACAGTAAAGGAAATCTGTGAAGCTCTCACAAGGATGTTTTCTAGCCTGTAGTGGTTTTTGTGAGCTATTCTATTTCATAAGGTTATCTTAGATGCAGTTTTTATTGATGCTGACTGAAGGAGCTAGTCTGACACCAAGAAACTAAGATATCTGAACTTATTTTCTGTTCTCACTGAGTTGAATTATCACATTCCTCTTTCTTCTGCTAGATTGTTCATGCAACATACTTTTCTGCTTTTTTTCCCCAATATATGAACTTTTTTTCAGTTATGTTGAGAGCTGAGCCTTAGGGCTGACAATTGACTATTTTCCAAATGATCAGCTTAAATGTCTCTTCACATTGAGGAATGGGCAGCTGTTAAAGAGAACTGAAGCAGGGGATCTGTGGTTTAACTGAGCTCATGGGGCAGAAGGAATGAGAATATAAGGGGCCACAGTGCTGGGCTGTGTAAGGAAACACCAGCCCTGCTGAGAGATAAAGGCAGCCTGGAGCAGGCGGGGCAACTCCAGGGAGAGAGTGCTCAGTGAGAGATAAGCAGGGAGAAGAGAAAACTGTTGGTGAAACCAGGCTGAAGAGAAAGGAACGTCAGCAGGACGGTTAGATTATAACCCAGCTCCTTGGGATACCCAGTCTGTCAACCTGGGAAGTGGCCTTCAATTCCCAAGGATGTGTTTGAAGCTAGCAATAAGGAGGAGACAGTGCTGATCAAAACCCAGGGAATGAAAAAAGCAGAGCAAAAAAAAAAAAAAAGAAGAGGCTGCAGAGCAGGAATCAGGGACTTGTGTGAATAGCAAGAGTCTGGAGCTGCTCTGAACACAGACCGATCCCATGGTCGGCTGGATTCCCACGGTGTCCTGCAGCCGACACCGACCCAGCAACCTCCCTGTGCTGGAGGCTGTTTGACTGCTCAGGGAAAGGGGACGCACTCAGATAAAGTCTTGTTAGTGCTGAATTTCGCTATTTCTGATTATTTTGCTTGGAACTCACTTCCCAGAAAATTTTACCTTATATATAGTTAATGTACTAAAACCTGTGCTTGGTAAGACTAGTGAGAAGGGAGCAATGAAATCCCTGCTCTCTCAAGCGGATGAATATATAAAAAAACAAACCAAACCGAAAAAAAAACACCAGGTGAAATTCTCCCACTTGAAGTTTCAGTGGGAATATATTTATCTTTTGCATTGAAAACTATTTGAGGTGCTTCCCCCTTCAGCAGAACAAAGTCCAATGCCCACAGCACGGTGTCATCCTCGTGTTGGCACACTGAAGTCCCACAGGCCAAACGATGGCCACCAGCAAGGCAGCGTGGAATAAATCCCATCCGTCGTCCCGTGAATCCCGGTCACAGCCACACCAGTCGCTATAAGGACATCCCGCTTCGCTTCTTTGAGTCTTTCCGTGCAATGGGACTGAAGGACAAGATCTCCTTGTAAATATGCTCTTGAAAAACAGAACAAAATAACCATGAACATGTGATTTTAGAGGACACAGATGAAATTCAGATTGTTATGAATGTGCAGAGAGGAGGCACTCGGTCAAAAGGACAGGGCAGGTACAAGCTGGAAGAGAGACAAAGCAGAAGGGGCAAAAAAGTCTGCCTGAGGAGCTGGAGGGATCTTTGTTGAACACATAAAAACAAGAGCAGGGCAAGGGAGATGTGCACCATCATCAAGGCCTCAGCAGGCAATCACATGCCTTGCTCGGCACGTGCACAGGAAAGAGAGAGGTAGGAACAAGAACTTCAGAGATAAACTTCTTACTTCTCCACTCATCTATCGAAAGCTTTTCGTGTTCCAGAGAATCATCATAGGACTGTTGTGCTTCTGTCTCCTCCTCGACGTCTCGGAACTGGTCAAAATAGGGGTGAGCCAACGCCTCCGTCGCTGTAAGGCGCTTCTCCACATCGAGCTGCAACATCTTGTCAAGCAGGTCCACTGCTGTAGGAGAAGACAGGAACAGGGCTAAGCAAGGTGTGATGGAAAACAGGCATCCTGTGCAGGAACCCTGCATGTGATGGGACTAGTGTTTCCAGTACTACATCTCCAGACCTGAAAACAAAAGATTCCTCAACCTGGCCAAGGTAGCGTGGAGCTCCTGTCAGTGGGGATGAAAAGTTCACTCAGCAGCAGCCTCAGGGAGCTCTTACTAACAGAACTGGAGGTGTAAGGTGTGCAGAAATAACAAATTAGTCCTGAATAAGCCTTGCTGCACAGATGGGGCTGCAAGAACATAGAGCAAGCCAGTAACTTCAAGATATTTTTCGATTTTAATCATTTGGTTTTGCTCTGACCCCCACATCTCAAAGTAGTCTTAACATGAGTAATCTATATAGAAATCTATACATCCCTGGTAAACAGGAAGGCAGGAAACTCAGATACCAACTAGCCTGTCAGCCCCGTTCCCCCTTGATTTTAACATCTTAATGCTTTCTTCCTTTCAGCTTTTAGTCGAGTTTTGCTTACTCTCACCTCTAGTCTACTTGGGAAAAGAAATCCTTTTTAGGACATCAATTTTTACCCTGAAAACCGCACATGTCCACTGCCTGTTAAGTATCAATAGATCCAGGTGTTCAACAGTTGGGATCTAAGCTGTACTCTAAAAAATAAAAAAATTACTGGACCGCACTGTGTGGCACTCTCAGCATTTTATCAAAACCTACGATGCCTTAGATGTGGGGCTGGGAAACAGTACTGAACAGAGAAGAGCTAGTTTGTTTATCTAAATGCTAATGATCATAGTATCACCTGCTTGGCTACAAGCAGCCACCTCTGAAAGCCAGTATCAACCAAAATTCATCCTAACTCTCACAGCAAGTGGAGCTGATACATGAAACTGTCCTAATTCCATAATTTGCATCCCACAACCTAGACATCCTGTTATATCCAGCACCCACTCTCTTCTGGCTTGTTGATACAATAGTCAGAAGTTTATCTCTTCCTTAACTACTGTATGCTACAGGCTATGCCATTTTAGAGTTAAAAAAAAAAAAAAGAAGAAAAAAAAAAAAAGAAAAAAGGTAAATGGCCAAGAACAGTAGAACATCGCCATTGTAATGCCAATAAAGAATGCTTTTGATTTTAATCCACACTTATTTGCCCGGGGGACAGGCAGGGACACAACCTGCAAGGGAGAAGGTAGCAAGAAATTAAGAGTAAGAGGAGAAGCAAGACTGGAGCTGTGGTAGTCAGCCTGTTGCCTTCCCAGCTGTGAAAACTCATGAGAAATGCTGGAGATGACTTACCATGAGGATTGGCTTTGGGGAAGAGCACAGACAAATCCTTCTTGGGGATTTTAGGAAGGGACTTGATATAACTCTTAGCCTGAAAGAGAAAGAAAAGCAAATTTACTGCACGTGGACAAGTGTGAGGGGGCTCTGAAATACATCTCTTGGGTCTCACGGCTCAGATGAGCAAAGGCAAATGAGGAGAACAGCAAATCATCCCAGTTCTCACGTTTCAGCGACCAGTTTGCAAGGAGGTGCTTTATCATTTGAGATACGGAAATATTCCTGCTTTAAGGGCCGAACTGGAGAGCAGAGGAGGTTGGTGGTTTGCTGGGGTGTCAGGCACCTCACCCGGGAGCCCCTGCAATCTGCGCCACTTCCCAACACGACGCCAAATCCATCAGACGGGCCACTGGCAAAGAGAAACCTCTTCCTTGCCACGGGGAAGACTGCTGTCACTCCACTGCTGCTGCCGAGGCAGCACCTCGCCCATCTCAAAGGCCAAATTCACCTTTCCCCACCGCAGCTCTGCCTGCAAAACCTGAAGCCAGGGTGAGCTTTCTTACCGCTTTGTCCTCCAGCTTCTCCACGAAGTCTTCTCCTGGATGCCCCGTTACTTTCAGGATCTGAGTCAGTTGATCTAGGTCTGGCAGGCTGCGTTAAAGATCACCCGTCTAGCAGCGAGCCCCGGACACCCCCGTACAGCTCAGCCTGCAGCTGGGTGCCGGAGGGCCCGAGGACCCGCGGGAGCTACAAGCAGGTTACAATCCAAACCCAACAGAGCCACGCAAGCAGAGACTCATCAGACTGGTGAAAAGAGCTCCAAGGCTTTTTTTTCCTGGGATATCATTTTCATCGGCAGATAATTTTGCCGGCACAACTCTGCCCCCGGGCACAGGCCCCTGGGCGCAGGGGATAGGCAGCGGTTTAGGGATGGAGCTGTGGCCACGCGAGGTTGGTCAGGTTGCTGGTGTAGAGCACACGTGGCCAGCACAGACGTGTACTTCTAACGGTGTCTTATCCCCCTCCTGCCTTCTCCCTGTTTTCCTCACCAAGAAGACTGGTCCCTGTGATTTTTTTACCCTCCTGGTAAACCAGACTGACACCTATCTTTCTCAGTAGCCTCATTCATAAAAGCCCTTTCACACACACCAAGAATTACTGCTACCCCAGGAAAAAGATCCAGCATGAAAGGATACAGTCTTTTCCTTTAAACAGCGTTTTGCCGGTCAGCATTTCTGCCATGATACAGCCAATAGACCAGATATCCACTGTTCGGAGGGAAAAAGGAGGAAAAAAAAAAAAAAAAAAAAAGACAGTAAGGAAGCAGCAGTGATTGCCAGGACTCGCTTGCAACATGCACTGATTTAAATTTCACTCCCATTTTCCACACTCCCCTGTTCTTTCTATGCTGCTAAAATCTCTGCTCTCATCATTTCCCGCAGGCACTAGCTCTGGGAGTTGTGCAACAGCTTTGGGACTTGCTCTGCTCCAGGGGACGTGGATGATGATGAAGAAGAACATCTGGAGGATTACGCGAGCTTTGACCCGGGTGTGCCAGCGGGATCCCCGAGCTCGCCACCGGACAGTCACAGCGCTGAAGCGAGGCTGCTCACCTGTCTGGTTGTAATGCATCCAGTTCAGGATGACTTCGGGGGCTCGGTACCAGCGCGTAACCACGTAGCCGGTCATTTCAGCATCAGCGTGTCTGGCCAAGCCAAAATCCAAGATCTGCAGTTCACCAAAGGAAGAGGGAGAAGGAAGGGCAGGAAAGAAAAGAGAAATCCTACGGGCAAGTGAGAACCTACTTCTAAGAGTAAACGAAGCAGATCCAATCAGGTAATAACGAAGCCCCAACTACACCACAGCCGCCCACGGGACAGTTCAAAGAACTAACAGGTTTGTCTTAATTCCACTGTAAATTGCAAGCCAGCTGCAAAACTAGCTGCTGTGTGAAGACCCTGCTGAAAGGATCAGTGCTGCGTGCTACCCGCAAGGTCGCTTCCTTTCTCAAAGCTTAAGTTTCAACTCTGTGAGCTTTATTTGAGGTGTTCTATAACCTGGTGGCAAAGGCACCACGACTCACCCTCTTCTATGAAAACACCCTGCAGCTGGCAGGGGATGGCCCCTCCCTCAATACTGGAGATGAACATAGCTTGACCCAACCTTTGCAGGCCACGGACCCATCCCCTGTCATATAAGTTACAAAACCCACGTGCCAGAGCACCACACCAGCGAGCTGCAGGGAAACCCTTCAGAGCAATACTGAAAATAGCTTAGTCTGGAATCACAACCATCGTGTCAATGAGAACCAAAGGGCAACTGTGGTTGAATCCAGTTATCCTTCAGGGATCGTTCACCTAACGCAAACATTGCTCAGCAGTATTGAATTTATTTAGGAAGTCGTTACGAACTGCTGCGCCGCAGGAATTACGGTGACAGGATGTTCATTCCAAGTCTTAGGCCCTGATTCAGCAAGTTACATCAGCAGGTGAGTATTTCCCACTGCCTGCAACCGCCGAGTAATGAAACGCCTCGAATCGAGTCTCAGAAGGCAAGAGGAAACACGATGGTGCCAAATTCCTGCTGGCAGAGCAGTTCCTCCACGATCTGATATGCTACATGCTGCAAAGTGGTGCCTTCCCACCTACCTTGAGCTGACAGTCCTCATTCACAGCCAGGTTGCCTGGCTTCAGGTCCTACAACAGACAAGAGCAGAATAATAGGGATGTTTTGATTTGCAACGCATCAACACGAGCCTCAGCTGAACCCCTGCTTGCCTTTGATGGAATCCCATAACATCCCGAGTCTGGTATTGATACAGCAAAGACACCACGCCTGCTATACTGTACAGCTTTACATTACTATTTTATTTTTTTCTGAAACAGTCTTAACTCAAAAAGCATCATAAGATGCTTCTCAGCTCCTGAAAAAAAATTACAGCATTTTCTCAAAATGCTGCACAAACGAGCAAATCCAAACCTATCTAGGGTGTAAGAGGGAAAAGAGGGAGAACACCAGAGAGATCTTGGAGCAGATGAGGCTATTAGTTAAACTATATGTAGGAATTTATTAACTTTGTGTCCAAGCTGTGTTTCTCCAAAACAGGCAAAAATCAGGTAATAGCGCACGTGAACTTACCCTGTGGATGATGCCGGCTGAATGAATGTACTGCAATAAAAAGAGGAGCCACAATGTGAGCACCAGCAGACAAAATTTTCTGTTCTCCAGCACAGAAATGAGAGCTACGAACAAGAGCTTGTTGAGAACACAACTCTGCAGCCGGCCCCGGGGCAGCAGTTTGCAAAGAAATCTCTGCCCTGAATTTCTGACAGTATTTGCAATGGTATTGCCAGTCTAAAGAGGCGTGGAGCAGAGGAGGAGGTATGGAGCAATGGTTCCTTAGAGCAAGTACACAAATAGCTTCAAACTATCAAAGGCATCGGGGTTGCAAGTAGGAGCATGGTCACAACATGAAAACTCTTTTTGGGTGTTAAGCCACATGAAAAAAAATTCATCATTAAAACACAAAATTGGAAAAGCCGACTGCATGGCTTTTATCACACCAGTTAAACCTTCTGTGTGTTCTTCCCCCCTTTCTTTAAACTTAAGATGATCTGAGGAAAGGTGTTATTAAGGTGAACTCGTTAATGCCTGTAAGCCACTGCTCTGACTCCAGGGGAAGAACATTACAGAGGGCAGCACTGGGACATTGTCTGTACGTCCAGGGTTTGCAGTGATGGCTTTCTGCTCTCTCAAAGCCAGTTACAGCAGCTCATTCCTTCCTTATTCCATTTAATACCAAAAAATCATCCCTTCTGTCTCCTCCCCTGGAAGCCTCTGGTAGGAGTTCAGCAGAACCTCCCGGTGCTGCCAGCCTCTTACTTTCTACGCAGCGTTTTGCTTGGGGTTTTGGCAAGTCGCAGAGTGACGCAACTGCTGTCACAGAAACACCATCCCGAGGTCTGCGACTGCCAACGGCTTCGACACCCAATTAACTGATGTGAACAAGCTGCCGTTTTAGTGACGTGTGCTGGATCAAGAGTAGCTCTGCAGCAAAGATCTGTTCTCAGGGGGTGCCATAAACCCTCCAAATCCTCCTGTACGGTGTTGGAAGGGGTTTAGTTATGGTCAACCCAGAGGTGATGTGTAGAGGAGACTAAACTCCTCCAGACCCACCTACCTTCAGCCCTTTCAGCATTTGGTAGACCAGGTACTGGATCTTTTCATCACTGAATTCATGTCCCATGATCTTTTGTAAATCTGTCCGCATGTAGGGCATCACCAGGTAGCTAAAAGGCAGTAAGACAAGGCCCTGAGTCTAGAAGAAAACCAAAGGGAACCAGGCTAGCCTTGTTCTCGCTTGGTTGGGATTTTTGGCTGTGTAACTTACTGCAACTAAGATGAGTCGCTGTGACAGTGTTCCTGGCTAACTAGCATAGCCTGCAGTGGTGCTGGGATTTCAGCCTGCTCTGAAAATTGCTCTTCCTCCTCCCCTTAAATTGGATATCTGACGTCAAGTAAGAACACGGATCTTCCAAACTTTAATGATCCTGAATGAGTTTACTTTAGACCTCAAGCGATGTTCAGTTCCGGACAGCCTTACACCATCTGGGAGCTGAAACATCTTGCGCAGCTTTAAAGAGTCTTGCAAAACTGCTGAGTTGGCTCCCAAATTTATCTTTGTAATGTTCACCAGCCCTGCCTCGGAAGACAACATCTAGCTTCCTTCAGTCGCTGGCCTGCCTGCTGAGACTGCTAATTACTTGACGGCCTTCCAGCAGGAACTGGTCTGAGAACCTCCAGACACTTTTTCCTGCAGGCTGCTAAATACCCAGCCATCAGCTGAAAACCCAAACCCAGGCACACGCTGCTCATGCCCCAGGATGGGGAAAGGAAAACAACTCGTCCAACCTGACCATCAACACTGAGGGAAACGCCAAAAAAAAACCCAAACAAACAAAAAAAAACAACGAAAAAACAAACCAGCCAGAATCAAGATGAAAGCCAGATCTGTAAAATTCTCAGTTTAATTAGCCCAGGGCTTGATGAACATTCTGAGTGCAGCCTCTCAGCTCAGCAGTCACACAGGTGGTGGGTTAGCAAGGATCGTGCTACACGTGGAACGCCATGGACCGCAGTGCCTCTGACATGTGCTGGTCTACATACACCCTGTGTTCTCCCAGCTGGGAGCGCGGCATGGGATCTGTTTATGTACTCTGGGTGTTTCAGCCACGAGGAGAACTCACTCGTGCTTTTGATTCTCCTTATTGCCTGGGGGTGTCTGGCTTTAGTCTGGCCCCTTTTCTACTCAGTCTGTTGGGACTGTGCCTCAAACCCAGCTGCTATCCTGCAGCTAAGTCACCTGTGTCTTGGGCAAGGGCTGAGTCTGGACAGAGCAAATGCAAAAAACGCAAACTCCAAACTTACAAGTCCTGGAATCCCTGGTAGGAGGGGGCGGAGGTGAAGACATCGAGCAGCCCAATGACCTGGTGGAGAAGAGAAGTCCACATTTAAACCTGGAAAGCATTTGCTGTGCACGTGGGACTCGGGTAGCAGCTCTCCATCAGCACGCACGCACAGGTGAGCACTGAGAACTCCATCTGAGGAATCTGAGGACTCCTCACTATGCTGCACAGCTGCTTTTCCTCTTACTAATCCACGGGAGCACCCATTACACATCTGCTTCAGCCTGGTGCCAACTGGGCGCAGCTGAACCCTGAGACAGCCCGCACGTGCCAGATGTCGGGACCTCTCCATTACAACAAAGGTGATGCCACCAGAAAGGACTTGCTGCCAGGTGGCAAGAAAACCCCACCCTTGTTTCAGCAGGAATGGTGAGAAATGAATACTTACATTCTCATGTTGCATGTGCTTCAACAGCATGAGCTCTCTGTACGCTCTCTTGGCAAAGATCTCCGACTGGAACGGGCGGCAGAGCTTCTTGATCGCCACCTTCTCCCCTGTCTTCTTGTCTGTGGCTGAACTGTGGCGGACAAATAAAAACCAGTTCTGACATCATCAGGATGTTTTAACAAGTTTTGCAATACCGAAGGTGGTCTCCTAGAGAAGAGCTCATACTGGAGCTCACAGAGGAACGGCAACGGCAGGCCCCTTGAGGAACCCAGCGGAGCTCTGCGCACACAGACCTTACCCTGCGTGACCTGGGGCAGATCACAGCCTGGGCTCCTTGGAGGACCAGGTGTCATGCCAAGCAACATATTAGTGGCTCGTCTTTATTCCCCTTAACCTTCAGAAACAAGCTGGAGCTAACAGAGCCATGGGAAGAGGAAAACACAAACAGCCCAAGGACAGGATTAGTTCTAACTCCACATTCTCTTTCCCTAACACATGGAGATAAGGGAATAAAACAATTTCTGCTCTGCCATCTGCTTGAAGGTTGTTTTTTAAGGTCCATCAGCTGCCTTTGCTGTATTCTGGAGCAAAGACAGTGGATGTCACACTGAAAACACAGGCTGCTGGCATTAATTCACCTGCATTTGGGATCTTTGCTGCTACAAGTATGCTCCTGCGTAAAAGCAGGTCTGGCTGAAAATGAGAGTCTGTTGTAAAGCTAATGAAAACCTGGTTACAACAGCCGCTGCTGGAGACGGGACGTGTTATTCCCTCCAGCCACATTTGCTGTTTGTGGCTGGGCAAGGGGGATCCAGCCACACTCTCTCTGCTTCTGGGGGCTCCTCGATCAAGTTGCAAAGGGGGCCCCAGATTTCACCAGATCAGAAGTGCAGGGGACTCCCGCAGGCAGAGATAGCTGTCATTTGGGATTCTCAGCGGGGGTGTCAGCGCACCCCATTACACATTAGTGCTCCAGCCCCTCCTTGACCCCTCCCCAGAAGGCAAACGGATGAAGAAAGGGTTTTCCCTGCCAAACCGCGCTGTGGGTTTGCAGAGCTGCTCCCACTGCTTTGTAAATCCTCATCTCATCTCCTTGGGGAAACAGAAGGGCTATAAATCAGCACGTTCAGTCCCAAAGCTTGTAACTGCACCGGGTAACCAAGCCCACGTGAACGCTGGCGTCAGCACTTCGCACGCGTCCTCTGGCCTTGCACAGACACTTTTCTGCAGCTTCCTCCTCCAAAGAGACGCGAGGTTCCCCCCGCCACGTTCCCTGGCCGCCAGGCTCTGACCACCACTCCTTCCCCGAGGCTCTCGGAGGACCCAAGACAGGGAAGGGCAGGTACCATAAAGCTGTAAAGCGACGTTACCACGACCTGCAGGGCTGTCACTGGGAGGCAAGACTTCATAAATGAACAGGGAAACGCCACCTTTAACAACACAATCAAACTGCATGTTGCCGGGTTTAGGGCCGACTGCAGTAGGAGAGGTGGGAATATCCTGCTCCCCACGGCGTTCCCTTTGGTTCCATGCTGAGGAGGGGTTATCAGGTCCTTGCAGCAAATCTTGGAAGTCTCTCGCACAGCCTTCTCTGACTGTCAGCCACAAGCAATCAGATGTGGTGCGTCCTCCGGCAGTCTGGGCTGTCAACAGCTCTCCCCAACCTCCCCCATACCGTCGAGCAAGCTCCCTGTTCTTGCCCACCAAGGTCCCTTCCAGTTGTGCACGATGAGAGCAAGAAATATCCTTTGGGAGCTTCGGTATGACAGTGATTCAGTCAATGCCTTCAGCTGCAAAAAGCAAAGGAAGTGCAGAAACCCGAGGAGCTTCAGAGCGCTGGCGAGGCCAGTGGGTATCCCAGCGGGGCAGGGAGGAGTTGTCTCCATCGCGGGACTTCAGCAGGCGTCGGCAGAGGGTAAAGTTTTCCAAGGAGCCAAGGGAGTAAGATGAAGGGACTTGGACCAGCTAGTCCAGCAGCTGCTGCAGAATTCCAGGCAGGTTTCCCAACCCGAGGGTGCGTGTCCTTACCCGCCGGGCTGCCGCGCGTCTGTCCCCACCACCCAACGCGGGAGGGTGGGGGGACGGGGCTTCAGCCAGAACCACTCTCGCCCCTGCCCGCGCCACAGCCAGGAGCTAATTCAGCTGCCACAGCCCGGAGAGCCCAGCACAGGCTCAGAGAACCCGTGGAGCTGGGGATGGCACCGGGCAAGACAGCGCTGGAGGGGTCACGAGACTCTTCTTTGACAATTACATTCAGCTGGAAGCCGAATCGCCACAGATTTGGGCAGAGTTAATGAGGGAAGAGACACGTCTATTGCTGTTTTTCCTGAGGTAGTTTCTCCGCTGCTCAAGGTGGCGTAAAAACCAGCAGCTCCGAATAATGCTGCGATAGGAAAGCTTCCCAGAAATTCCCAGCAGAGGACAGCAAATCCTAACTCCACAGGCTTCCACCTCTGCTTTGTACCGGAATCGGCACCAAACCCTCCCTGCTGAGCACTGTCCATGCACCAGCACCCCCCAGACCCTGGGGCTGTTTTAACACCCATCCCTCCCTGGGATCTCCAGAGCAGCCAAGATGTTCACAGGAACCAGTAAGAGATTTGTATTGTCATTTGTCTTTTTTTCTGATGGGCAAGGAAACTTTGGAAAGATTTCCCTCTTCCTTTTTTTTTGTCCCGTCTTTATTTTCTTTTAGCCTTCCTGCTTTCTTTTATGATAAAAACCAGAAAACATTTTAGAAATATAAAAAAGAAGTCAAGTTCAGTCTTGCCTGATTTTGCAGGACTCGTTTAAGCATCTCAGAAGCTTAAATGCAGTTGGACACCAAAACGGGAAAAGGAAACACTGGGTGCCTGTTTGTAAATAGGCAGCCAGGGGACAAGGACAGAACCCGGGCCCCAGGGTTTCGGGATCCGTGCCGTGACAGCCCACAGAGAGACTTTGCCCAACACCTACAAAAGGGGACACACCTTTTTTTTTTTTTCTTTAGCTCAGCATGTTATGAAACAAGGGCTCCGTTCAGATCCTATCAATGGGCTGCTTCATATTTAACCTCTCAAAAAGTCACCTCTCTCCTCCGGTTCGCCAATGTAAACCAAGCAAGACCTGCCTCCTGCTCGCTCTCCCTACAGGCACCTTTGCCCAACTGATTAATGAACAGCAGCTCACGCTGCTCTGCCATAGCTGCGGAAGCCCCAGCCTGTTACTGATCCCGATTTACAATCATTTCTGTTTTATGATCTCAAGCTGGGAGCAGCGTCAAGGCGGGGGGGTCATCGTCCAGCTCGTTTCCGCAGCAAGGACACGCTGCAGAGGTCACACTGCTCCAGCACCCACCTCTCATCATCTACAATTTGCTTTCAGACACCCAGGTGGTTTTTTTCCCCCGCCTCCCTTTGCTGCCAGACAGAAATGTTAACACAAGGTCGGGACTGAGGCAGCTCAAAACCTGCCTGACCCCCAACATCGAGGTGACACCCCAAGCCGCCTCGCAGCTCTGCCTTCCCGGCCCTCGAGCCGCTGCTCCGGGCAGCCCGCTGAGGCGAGATGGGGGGGGGGAAATGCTCCCCCCCCCTGCCCACCCGGGGCGACCGCGGGAGGAAACATCTCCGTTTCCTCCAAGTCCCCAACCCCCTGCCCGCGCCAGAGCAGGAGGCAAACCGCCTTCATCACACATGCAAATGTCCTTTCCTAATGGAGGGGTGCCAACAAGCGCCTCCTCATTTCCCCGCCGTCCCCCCGCCGTCCCCCCGGCACGATACTTTAAGCACCCCACCCCACTCACCACACCGAACCGTAGGCTCCAGACCCCACCGGGTGGAGGGACGTGTATCTCCTGGGCAGCTCCCAGAGGGTTTTGTTCACCTCTTGTCTGTAGAAGCCTCTTCTCCTTGCGATGTTCATCGCCCGGCGGGTGCGGGACTGCCACCCCCCCAGAGCACCGGAGTACAGGAGGGCTTCTGGAGCGAGAGCAGGACAGCCAGGCCTCCCGCGCTGGTAAGAAAAGGCTCTAGCGAGTTCCCTTCTCCGTTTTCAGCTGTCGTGAGCGTGAAGGGACATGTCTTTGGGCCCTCCTCCCTCCGCCTCCACATCGGCGCAGGTGAGGCATCAGGTTTCCTGACACGCCTCGGTCTGGTCCAGGTGGCCTCTGCGACAGGAGCTGAGCACCCGCGCGGTGGCAGGTGCACCGCCGGCAGCCCCGGCGCTCCCGGCGGCTCTCGCCCTCCTGCTGCCACCGGGCCACCAGCCGGGCAATGTCCTCGGGGGGGGCTCATGAAATCCCTGCTCTGAACAAGCGGATGAGTAAGGACTCGCCGAGCCGGGGAATCTGGGGGGACGAGCCACAGCGCCTCGTCAGACACGCGGGGACGTTCTTCTTCTTTCCAGCTGATGGGGGGGACAGCTCCAGGCTCCTGACAAAGGACACCGGGGTGCTACAGCCACGGATGGGAACAGAAGTGATGGCGATTCCCCCCCCCAAGCCTGGTTTCCCAGCAGAGCGGGGACGCACTGACAGCAGGCTGAGGTTCTCCGCCTTTGTGCAGGTGACTGCAGTGAGGAGGTTCAGGAGCAGCCGCAAAAAAAATGGGGCCATCCCAAGAACTGCTGGTGCCCCAGGCTCTGCTGGCTCCGGTGTCACCTCCCGCAGCAGCTCCAACCCCTCCTCGGGTCTCCCTGGAGAGCACCGAGCCCAAGTTCACGGCTGTGCCTGCCGTGCCCAGGCCAGACCAGCAAACCCAGCCCGCGAGAGGGTCCCGTCCCGGTAAGCAGGGAACACCTCGACATTTTGCTCCAACTCCAGGAGGCTCAGGTGGGGCTCCCCCCACGGGAGGGCTGGTGCATCCTACACACTTCCCAAAGGAAGTGACTAAGCTGCTCCTTCCCCAGCCAGCCCAGCTGCTCACACCGTGCTCTACCCCCCCCCCCCAGCCCCTGCCTCGTCCATACGCATCATCCACAGTGGTGCCCCTGCTCCGGGAGTAGGGCCAAGCTACCTGATAGATGGGAATCACGGAAAAAAGTTCCATCAGGGGTTTAGGAAAGATTCGTTTTACCAGGTGACAGGCAATGGCTGCAATCCCCATTAGCCTCAGCCCCTACATTCTTCAAATAGCCATGGCAGGTTCTGCTGTTTTATAAAACAAACAAGGGACAAGGTGCTACAGGAATCTTTTAACCTTCCTTATGCATATGCATGTAAATAAGCCTCACAGCAACAGCAGAGTCAGGAAATAAACTGGCGATTGGCTTGGTTCTATAAATACACCTGTGAGCAAGAGGTGTTACAGCAAGAACTGTCAGTGCAGAAGCAAACGTGTAACTCATTTTATGAGCACAACTCTTGCTCAACTACGCACACACACGCAGGTAATCAGTGTACAATTAGGGAGTTCTAAATATCTAGGGCATGGCTTGGCTGTAGAAAAATGAACTAACTCAGGTGACCGATTCAAATCAAATAGGAAACCTTAAGTAACTCGATATTGTAGGTATAGTTTATTTTTTTTTCCCCCAATTCGCTTCTCACCAATTTTAGTTTGGGGGCGGTTTTGCTCACCAGGATATAGTGTAACCAAGCACATTCTGGAACTGTGTATCTTGGGTTTTGGGGATTTTCTTTTTCCTACCCAGAACAATAAACGACAGGTCCTGTTTAGGCTCTTTCCCCCCTGTTTGTACCAAGGTGAGCAGCAGATGGAAACAAGCAGGCAGGCAGCTCCCATACAGCCGAGAGCAGACCCCCACGCTTTCCCTTGTACTTACTCAAACGAGCTGCTGCACAGCTCCGTGGCAGGGGAGCCTGGGTGCTGTGGGTGGTGGCTACCTGGCCCGGATTGACATCAACCACCCCGGTTTATCAAGTCCTGGGAACTCCAGGTGCTGAGGCTTTTGTTAGAGCGAAGAACACAGCTCTGGTCAATCGTCCCTCCACGTGAATGACACTGACACACGACAGAAGTCGGAAAATCTCCGCTACGAGGAGCCACGATGCCCCGGCTCCCATCAACACCCTTCCACCACCAAGTAGATGGCAGCTGAAGAGGAAAAAAAATCACTTTTAAATAGCAAACACACACAAACCAGCGCTACTGGGGAAGGGCCCCGGGTGTGGGCAAGTAGCAGAACGCTGGTCTACCGTGTTGAGTAAGCGCTTCCCTATACTAAACAGAAATTTTTTTTTTTTTTTAACTGTGTCCAGTACTCATGGTCAGACTTTAAACTAGTTCTGTAGCAAAGAATTCACTCGAGACAAATATGGACACCAACCCAGTGCCAGCCGAGTGGCACAGCCCCAGCCCCGGGCGGGCAGGATCCCGACGGCACCAGGGAGGAATCCACACCGTGCCAAAGCTGACCCTCTAGTGCAAGAGGTTTACAAGTACCATCAGCGCAATAAATCTGAAAAATAGGTTTTATTTTTAACCAGTGGTATTGTGACATCTTATCTGGCATAACCAATTACAGCAAAATTCATGGCTAGGAACAAAATAGCAGATCTCTCCTCCGAAGGGCGGCCGGCTCAGCCCGCAGGCAGCTGAGCGGCGCCCAGGGCAGGCAGGGAGCGCGCGGGACATCCCCACTCACACACACGCACAGACACGCACACACAACAGCTATACTCTTAAAAATCTTTAGCAATATTTCCGCATGAAATCACACTGTAGCATCTACACAATAAAATGGCTGATAAAAATAATCTTGCTGTAGGTTTACACAGTATATCTACATTTTCATTTGAATACCTGGACTGCTGGTCCAGCAGAAAAGGGAGGTTTTCTGTCTTGATTTTGTTGGGCTGAGGAGAATTTTGTCCCAGAGCATGAAATAACTGCTCTCTTCATCTCACCCCAGACCTTTATTAAGTGTTTGACCTGAAGAGATCACTGAAAAGAAGCCTAGGAAGAATCAATGGCTTTGTCATCCGTGTCACATCCCTTTGTGCTGCCTCTTCAAACACGGGGTAAAAGCACTACAAACAGTTCCTCTCTGTCCCGTAGGTAACAAGAACACAAAATACTGCAGAAGCCTTTCTCCTCACATATACACAGGTACATTGTCCTTACAGGATGCCTGCAACAAATAAATGTCTAAAGATATCTCTTCCCCACATCCTAAAATTGGGCTCCTGAGCTCCCTGGGTACAGTTCTAGCACACAAACACGCTGAGAAACCCCCTCCTGCCAGTCTCTAACTCTGGGCATTTAATTCACACAGAGTCCTGTGGAATAATACAGAATATCTGAACCATGTTTGTCCCTTTTCATGTTTCCTCAGGCAGAGATCAACCTGCTACAAAACAGCGAAGCAGCTCTTATCTGAGAGGCTAAAAAAACCTCTAGTAAGTGTTAGTTTTTTATATATATATATATATATAAATATTTATATTTATAGATATAGACAGTGAAAGGGAGATTGTGGTTTTATGCATGCTTACTTCTTTGCTTTGGATTCCAATACTTCTAGAAAAATTTTTTTCAGGAAATAACTTAAGTTCTGGCACAAGATGCCATAGTTGTTTCTTTGAAGAACATTTTTTACATTTGATCTCACAAGAAACCCTCTGTCCCAAGCTCTCCGTCTCTGGAACCAGAAGATCAGAACACAAAGAAAAAGGTGCACTTTTCTATGCCGTCTATTTTATCCCTTCCTCATCAAAGCCTCCAGAACGGCAGGTATTTCACCATGAGCTGCAGCACAAGAGGAAGGATGCTGTGATTTCACGGCACTGGCTGAGGTACTCGGTAAAACAGTTCACTGACGATTTAACTGCCCCAGTGCCATCCCCGAAAAAGTAACAACACAAATCAAGCAGCTCTACATGCACATACAGCTACGACATGCAAAAAACACCCCACCTTTTAAGGAACAAAATGCACAAAACGGGTGGCTAGCAAGAACCTTCTCCAGCCTCTGTTCTCCTGGGAGCTAATGCTGGGAAGCCTCAGGACGAGAGGAGGGGAAGAGGGAAAAAATACAGAAATACCCAATGATCCAGGGGTAGCGGCTGTTGCCTCAGTTATTTCCTGATTACATCGAGTTCATGCCTGGCTATCTCGGAGCCTTCACCCTGAAAACCAGTGGGTCGGAGATTTCCACTCCAGGCTTCCTTTTCCCTCTCTCCCCATTCATTTAAGGCACAAACATATTTACAATTTCAAACAAAACCTTTTCATGTTCCAAGGACCAGACACTAGCAGGCCTGTACATTCTGCTGTACCAGGAAGATCTGGACACAAATCAGCCATCTGGCATTGAACACGGACATCCCTCAACCCCACCTTCAGTCCCAAAGAAAACAGAGGACTCTAAGCCTGCAAACCAACTTCCATTATTTCGAGGTTACTTAATTGTAGAAGAACTGGTAAATGGCAACGATTGTAACCCAACTTTAAAGGTCAACTTCCCCACTTTGCCCCCCGCAGTGCAAACTGGTTGAGCACCCCTACTCTGGAAGGACTGAAGAGCAGTCAGATCAGGTCCTCAGAGGCTCGCCCCAGGCTGTACACAGAATACAAGAGAGCATGCAGCATGTTTACACAGACTCAGCTTTCTTCCCTCCCCCCACCCTCCCCAATTCAACACACACAAAACCCCTCCACCAAGGAGAATATTGTCTTGACGAGGCACTTGAACGATAATTGGAGAGTCCCTATGAAAAGGCCTTCCCCTCACAGTGAAGTGGGACAAACAGAAGAGAGCAGCTTCTCAGGACTCCATCTCCTCTTGGTCAAGCGGCGGTGGCACAAAGCTGATGACTTCATCGTAAGTCAGGCCTGGTGGGAAAAGTGTGACAGAAACTTAACAGGCAGTACTAAAGATATCCCTCATGCAAGAAAACCTGCAACAATCTTGCAGGTTCTAAAGCTATTTTAAATGAAAAACCATGTTTAATTAAGAAAAGAATGGTTACGCCATTCTCAGAGATGATCATACACAATAAAAGATACTTCTAGAGAGTTGAGGAGATGTGTTTGAAAACAAAGACATGAGCAATTATGTCGCCTACATGTTTGTATACTCATAGTAAGAATTAGTTACCAGGGATTATGTTAATTATGTGCACAGCACGTTACAGATTCACGCAGTGTAAGGACCTCAGAAGGAACAGGATGTCCATGTTTTTATCAGTTTCCCTTGTGTCTGTAACTGCCATGGCCCAGCTGAGCCGCAGCTGTGGAACAGACCACCAGGGAAGCAGGCTGGCTTCCGTCTCCAGCCCCCCAAACTCACTTTTCCATTCTTCAATCTCAAGTTCTCTGCTTTCAAACGACTGGTCATAGGGGTCTGCCACTGGTTCATCATCTGGGTCGTGATACTGAGCAAAGTAGGCATGAGCCAGTGCTTCTGCTGCAGTAATTCGCTTGTCTGTATCCAGTACCAACATCTTCTCTAGTAAGTCCACAGCTGCAAACACACCGAAACAGAAAAGAAAGGCTGTTACCCAGTGAGTTGTGTGACACTGTACTCCGAAATGTTAAGCTCGTGAAAGCCCGGTGTGTATGAGGGATCTGTAGTTTCTCAGGACCCACTGCACCATCCACAATTTCTTCCTCTTATACCCTCAGCCCACACACACTTTGTAAACTCCGAAAATGGTACATAGCTCTGCTCTGAACTACTACTGCAGTCAAAACAAAACTTGGGGAAATCTTGGTGTCCCAGGAAATGCTAACTTCAGCTTCGGGAAGGGCACAACATTTAAAACGCAAGCCTTACCTAGTGGATTGGCACCAATAAACACATTTTCAAAGTTCATTTTCGGCATGTAAGACAAAGACTGAATGTAGTTTCTTGCCTGTGGAAATAAATGCTCAGTTGAAGTATAATACAATCCGGCCACCAAGAAAAAAAAATACATCTCAATCATCCTGAAGCATTCGTTATTATGGTCTGTCTCCTCGCTTTGCCTTCTCTTTACTTATTCTGATACTTACTAAGCCCATCAGCATCATCCCTTCCCAGCTAAAGGCCACTCGAGACAGCAGAGGAAGAGCTGACATAACTTGGGGTTCATGCAAGACTGAAAAGCAAAGAGGTGCCCCGGAGTGCCGGTAAGGCTGCGTGCAGTCAGGTGCCTGTTGGTAAGCCGCACAACACGGCACACGATGCAAAAAAACAACTCACATCCAGGCTCTCCTCAGCCTCAGAAGTCTGTGTTTCAGTACGCACCGTCCAAATCTCAAGTCTTCATTTAGTACAAAAACGTTGTTGAAGAGCAGGTAGTTAATTGCCCACCCCATGCCACATGCGAGCACATCACTTACAGAAGCAGCAAACACTGCAAGTGAAGACCTGCCCTGCAACCCCCCCTCGCCTGCTCAGGTCTCACCTCGTGGCTGGGCATCCTGTTAATGAGATATGCAGGGGGTGTTCCAGTCAGACGCATGATCTGCTGAAGCTGGTTAATATCTTAAGTGCCTAGTCAAGGGCTTTGTTAAAAAACAGTGCAAAAACCATTTTAAACAGAAATCAGCTGCATACAAAGCATCTCTTCTGCAAACCACAAGGCAAAAGCCACACAGGCAGGGTCCACTAATTTTTTCCAATACTTGCGCAAAGTTTAGCAATTGCACTAGTGAACACTTAAACCAATGGAGAATCACTGACCAGTTGGTAACAGCGTCAGTACAGAAAGTATTTCTGTCTGCCATAAGTAGCATTATACTACCACACGGTTGCGTTCACATTTCCCAACAGTTTTGAGCCACCAGAGTAGACATTTCCTTCGACTGAAGCTACTCAAAAATTTTCCTAGGCTGCTGCAGCTACACACACAGCCTCAGGAAAATGAACAAAAATTAAAACAGAAACAAAAATTTTATCCTCTGCACTGGTTACCAGCTTTTTTTTCTTGCTGCATAGAAAGTACTTAAGTTCCTTGTGGTGCAAAGTGAAATCGGCTCACAACTGACACCTCCTTCTAAACAGCTTTGAATGCACTTTGATATGTGGGCGAGGTGACAGAAGGCAATAAATGCAAAATTAGCAAAACATTAGCATTGCATAAGACAGAGTTAGCTGATGTCGGGGAACAGACAGAGAAATTAAGAGCAAGTAAAGTAATGCAGCAGAAAAACAGAATTCATTAGTGACACACTGGAAGACCCTCAACCACTTAGTAATTTTGCTATCCCCATACAATGGAAAAAAAAAAATAGTAGAAACAGTAACAGTTTACTGCCTTTTTTTTTTTTTAAACAGACTTTTGATTTGGACCTGGCTAACAGCAATTATTATTTTATTGTGCAGTGTTAAAACAAATGAAAAACCCCCCAAAACCAGGTCCGCTTCAACCTTACGCATGCAAACTAATCTTCTGCTTAACCTAGTCACACTTTAAGCTTCTCTCTCTCACTAATCCCTGTACTTCAAATAGCAGACTACCCTTAAGGTCAGTTCACAGGGCACCCAAAGCAACCTGTGGTATCCACTTCTAACCTTTCCAAAGGTGGAAGGTCCCAGGGCTTTTTAAACTGGTGTGATCTTCAGCAAGCTGACCAACTGATTCCAACTTGCACCGCATGCCTAACCTTCAAATGTAATTCAAGGCTAACCTCACATTTTCTATTTTTTTGTCACTGTTACATGAAAAAGAACATAAGCAGCAGTACAAAATAATCTTATCATCACTCTCCACCGTGCTGATCCTCCATGGCATATCAGAAACAGCAGAGTGACTTGCTAAAGTATGCTGCTAATTACCTCTACTCAGGCTCATTGCTCACTATGCATTAACTTGTTAATCCATCCTGTTACAGCATCTCTTGCTCTAATTTTTATGCACTTCACCTTCAGAAACAGGTAAAATTAAATGCCATTTAATACTGTCTTTGCAGAAGTTCACAATTCAAGATTAGAACAATACCGAAATGGCAGTATGGCTGAAAACAGAAGTCACCTTTTAAAATGGAGACTGCAGAAACCTTTTTGCTATTACCTTGATAAAAGGGCCTCACAGAGCAACACCCTTTACATACATAGCACAAGTAGTTATATTCTCAGCAGACTATATACTGTGTGCCCTGGAAACAGCTGCCACAGAAAAGCACGTAAAAGGCATTTGGGATTTTATGCTACAAAAACAAAGATGGTGGCAGTAGTGTTTCAGAAATTAATCATACTAAAGAAGGGACTGTGTGCGTTTAGAGGATAATACAGTTGCTCCTGTTAAGAAAGATCCCTGGGTAGGCAATCTGGAGAAATAATAATTGAGACGAGCCTCAAGCTCTTAGCTGTGAAAAATACTTCCCCAGCAGCATCTGATCATACAATATATCACGACGTATAAACCCACAAACTGGAAGAAAAGTCACGAAGCAGTAAAATGAGAATATGGAAGAACGAAATAATACCACAGGCAGAGGTAAGAGGAATAAAGATCAGATACACACAGCATAAGAACTCAAAGCCATCCAAGAGCGAAGAATGACAAAGAAAGAAAAATAACAGAAAATAAATCCCAGGACATACTACAGATAGACTACAGGAGGGCAACATACAAACTTGGGACTTCCGAAAGGGCAGATATTACAATCAAAGTGTAAACTCACAGACTCTGAGGAGATTTTCTTCAAAAGCTCAGGCCCTGGGGTTCCAACGAGTCTCAAAATGAGCTTCAACTGATCAATATCTAATGATGGACCATAAAGGAAAATGCTGGGACAAATCAAAATGAAAAGCGCAACATAACAGCCTATTAATGTTGAAAGTTAAAACCTGCCAAGGCCTTGACTGAAAAGCCGTTTTAAGCAAACTGTATTCATTCCTCTCATTTACAATTGAATACCCCCGCATAACACAGCTCTGTCTGCATCAAACAGATTGAACAACTTGTCTACAAATACACCACATGCATTGAATCGGCTGCTGCATCCTTAACTATGGCAGAGCACAAGTCAGAGCTCCTGCCCCACTGGCAAAGATCAGTTTACATGCCCAATTCACCCTCTCAGGCCCCACACCAGAGTAGCAGACGTTAGC